ATGGGTGGATGGATGGATGGATGGATGGGTGGATGGATGGATGGATATGATAGGCTGGATGGATGAATGGATGGATAGAAGGAAAGATGGATGGGTGGATGGATGGATGGATGGATGTAGGGAAGGAAGGAGGGGTGGATGGATAGATGGATGGTAGATAGGAAGGAAGGATAAAGCTCAGCCTAGTGACAGCTTAGTCTCGAGCACAGGTGCATGTAATCACAAACTTAAATGCTAGAGCTGAAATTAAACCCCTCATTAAGCAAACAGGACACTGTAGGAAAAAGAATGTCCCAGAGACACATACCAGTTACTGATAGAACTAGAAACGAAAGCCCAGATCTCCTAAGCCCCAAGCCAGGATGCCTTTAAGATGAACACACACACACACACACACACACACACACACACACACACATACACACACCCCTCGGTGACTTGCATTCACAGGAAGGTAACCAAGTTAGAGAAAAGTACACCCATCTGGAAGGTAGGCAGCTCTCACTTCTATCCTGGTTCCACCACTTACCCACTTTTGCCAACTCTAAGATCAGGCTCAAAATGGCAAGTTTACAGAGCCTTTAAGATGATAGGGACTACCCCAAACAAGGTCTGGGGTCAAGCTGAAGAGACCTCGTGTGTCTCAGAATTCATAGGAAATCCTATATTCTCTCTTGTTCAGAGTATGGTGGCTGGAGACTGGGCCAAAGGGCCTTCTGCTGGGTTCAACCCCAACATTGCAAGGACGGTGTGAAAACGACACTCTTCCTCGCATGTGATATCAAGACGCTGCCACTAGATGGCGCCAGAACTGCACATTCCCTGCTGAGATCCCTCTGGGGAAGGACGGGATAAGGATCGCTTTCCGGTGGGGGAGGAAAGGAACCTACTGGGGAATTCTTAAATATCTGTGGGAGTGAATGAAAGAAACAAGCTGGCTCCTGGCTCCTCTTGTTTATGTCTTTGTAAAATGTGCTTGTAAGCAGTAGAGCTCAGCCAGCAAGAGGGGAAATCTTATTGAAATTCTGTGACCCTATCGATATCCTTCCCCTCTGTGGCACAGGCTTCTTTGCCCCCCCACACCAGTGGTTCTCAGACGTCCCTGGGGATCAGCATCCCCTGAAAAACTTACTTAAAAAGAGAGGCCCGAGCTCTCTCCACTTGGCTGTCAGATCTCCTCCAAAGCTAATCTGGATTTAAGAGCCTCCTGGGCCCGTACACCAGATTAGCGGGGCAGCAGGATTCTGATGGGCACCCAGTTTGAGAACCACTACCTGGCATCACAGGGTCCCGTTCTGAGGGGCCCACTGCCTCTAACGCCAGCCTCCAGGGCCCTGCCTTCCCCTTACCTGCCTCCTCAGAGTCCTGGTCCCCTTCTCACCAGCTGGGCTTGGAAGCAGAACACACCATGTGCATCTATGGACCCTATTTGCTTCCAGGTCTATGCCAGCCATGCCAACCCCATTTGTTCAAGAAGCCATCTTTTCCTCCCCTCTCAGAGCTCCCCCTTCCTCATTTATATTGTGTTTTCCATCATTCCGTTTCTGTCGATCTTGGCTCAGGTCAGCACCGTGGGGTTTTCATGACTCTCATTGAATTATCGCGGGAGGCACACCTCCCCTCGCCTTTTAGGCAAACACACCGCATCCCTGACAGGAGAAGCCACCGACGGGTGCTGCTGAACCCCAGCAGACCTTCACGGCTGGCTCCCTGGGGGCAGGGTGCCCCAACACCACCGGTTCTCCATCTCTCTTTTTTTGCCCCAGGCTTGAGCGAGAAGCCCACCCCCCAGACCTACCGAGAGCTCAGAAGAGCCCTGGACATGACCAAAGCCCACCCTGGCGAATTCTCCGTCTGCTTCACCGAGCTCCAGCAGAGGTTTTTTCACAACTGTCCGAGAAAGCTGAAGGATTTGATCCTCTTGGTAAAGTACTGGTACCAACAGGTAATTTTCAAATTCCGTTTCTAGGGCGGTCGTCCAATTCCCCTTCGCCGAGACCATCCACAGCCAGGAAAATATGACGCTCTTAAGTATAGAGCTCAGTGCATTTAAAAAAAAAAAAATTCATTCATTTATTTATTTAGAGAGAGAGGGAGATCGTGATGGGGGAAGAGGCAGATGGAGAGAGAGACTCTCAGGCAGACTCCCTGCTGAGCACAGCGCTCCGTCTGAGGACCCCGCGCTCATGACCTGAGCCGAAATCAAGAGTCAGACGCTTAATTCACTGAGCCCCCCAGGCGCCCCCAGCTCAGTGCCTTTTTATAACCTTTTGAACAACGTCCAGATCAAAATAGGGCACCTTTCCTGCCTCCCTGTAGCTACCTCAAGTCTCTTCCCAGTGAATACTCCCGACAAGTGACCACCATCCTAATGTCTGTCTCCTCCAGTCAGTTCTGCTTGTTTTTGAACTTGAAATCAGTGGTGTGTACCATCTGCTCAGCGTGAGGTCTGAGAGATGGGTCTCTGCTGTTGCACATAGTTGTGGTGTCTGATTGTCCTGTAGGATTCTGTCGTCTCGGCTGGTCACACCTTTCTCCATTCTGCTAAGGATGCTTGGGTCGTATCCAGATTGGGGCTATTACGAATTAGGTTACTATGGCTATTCCCCTACGGGTCTTTTTGTGAGTTTAAGCACTCATTTCTCTTGGGTAGATATACAGGAGTGGAAATGCTGGGTTTTAAGTTATCTGAATACATAGATAGATAGATAGATAGATACATATCTACGTGACATATTTATGTATGTATGTATGTGCACATAATAAATACATATGCAGGCTATATAGTATATTGTTATATGGTATATAAAACATATATCATTACGTAAATACATATAATATATTAAGTATATGTAATAATGTATATATTAAACTTTAGGAAGTACTACCAACATTAGTTTTCCCAAACAGTTGTCCCTAATAACACTCCCATCAGCGACGTATGACAGTTTCAGGTTCTCCACACCCTTGCCAACACTTGATACTAAAATCCATTGGATCTGAGGCATGGCGTCCTTTAGGCATGATGGTTGGGGGTAAGTAGGTCCCCAGATTAGCCACTGTCCCTTTCTTCTCCCACAGTGCCAGGAGAGGCTGAAAGGTCTGTCCCATCTGCCCGTGTATGCCTTGGAGCTGCTCACGGTCTATGCCTGGGAACAGGGGTGCAGAGCAGAAAACTTTGACATGGCAGAAGGCATCCGAACTGTCCTGGGGCTAATCAGACAGCAGGAGCAGCTGTGCATCTATTGGATAGTCAACTACAACTTTGAGAATGAGACAGTCCAGAACATTCTGCTGAGCCAGCTGAAGTCACCCAGGTAGCAAGCTTCCTTCCACCTTCTCTCTTTACCTGTTTGCCGGCAAGCCAGGCTGTGCCGCTTAGCATGAAGGCCCCGCCCCATCCTTCCCAGCCCAGGATGCTCCAAAGGAACCCCAACAGCGGTAGGGAGGGAGGCAGGGCGGGAACGAGGGGAACCTGACCGATGCCTTTCACATTTCAGACCGTCGTCATATTTTGCTCCCCAAACAAACACTCGAGAGGTGCTTCCCCTTACGGAAGGAAGGGGCTAACCATTTAATTACATTGCTCACAGAACATCTCTGCAAAGCACCGAGGGCAGGAACAGAAGGTCTAGCCGTCTCAGACAAAGCACCCGAGGAACTGAGAGGAAGCGTGGGTCTGGGTTACCAGACGCCCCGTCCAGTCCTCCCTTCCCAACGTGGACTTCTTCTTCCGCAGGCAGCCCAACTGATTTTTTTTTTAATCTAATGGAATTCATAGGCCGGTAATCTTGGATCCAGCCGACCCAACCAATAACGTGAGCAAAGATAAGGCGTGTTGGCAACTGTTAAAGCAAGAAGCTTTGAGCTGGTTGTCTTCTCTCAGCCCCAGTCAGTCACCTGGACCATCATGGAATGTTCTGGTGAGAGAGTTTTGCAAATACAGTTCGTGTCATGCTGCAGGGAGGGTGTCCTGATGCCCAGACCCCGGTCTTAGCCAAGAACACCATGTGCGGATTTCCTATAGCTGGCGTGACAAATTGTGCGGATTTCCTATAGCTGGGGTGACAAATCGTCATACGCCGGTGGCTTACAGCAATAGAAATGTATTCTCTCGCAGATCTGGAGGCTAGAAATCCAAGGTCCAAGTGTGGGCTGGGCGCTGTGAAGGCTCCTGGGGAGGATTCCTCCTTTTTCTGGTGGTTGCTGTGCTCTCCGCATGTGGCTGTGTCCCTCCCATCTCTGCCTCTGTTGTCACATGGCCTCCTGTGGTGTGTCTTCACAGTGTCTCTTCTCTTTGCGTCTCTGTCTCCGTGTCCCCCTCCTCTTAAAACTGAGCAAAGAGAGAAGGGCACCTGCAGATTAAAGATTTCAATGAATTGCCACAGGAGAGAGAGCAGGTGGAGAGGTGGGGGATGGATCCCACGGAGCAGAGCTCCAGGCGAGTGCCTGGCAGCCGCCCCCTCCCCAGACTGGAGCGCAGATCAAGGGGCCGGCTTCCCCTCCCATCCCCCAAAGAGAGAAGTCCGTCTACCACCACGGAATGCCCCTGCGCTGCTCTCAGAGCTTAAGGACTATTCGACAAGAATGTCATCAGTTTAGGCCACTGAATCCTTTCCGTTTTTCTGGGGGTCATGGGATGGCAAAGGGGACAAAGGTGTCATTTGAGACCACATTGGGCAACCAAATTCCACATTGCACAGACACACAACTAATTTACATGCAAAAAATGGTGGGGGTGCATCTACATTCCATTTGGCACAGAAAGTTGAGGGTCACCTGAGCAAAGATGGGATATAAGTGAGCTTCCCAAGTGCCCGGGGGCCCTGGACGGGGAGGACCCTGTGGTCGGGAAGCTCCCTGCCGGGATCCAGAAGGAACATGGTCGGCCCACTCCTTGTCCCGACTTTCCCTGGACTCCGGGCTTTGCTCCTTGACCTCGATTTTCCTGGCTTCCTAAAACAGCCTTTTAAAAATATCCACCCCACCCCCAACTCTATTCTGAACACTTTTAAACATACAGAAAAGTTGTAAAAATGGTTCAGTGAACCACTGCATCGACCTGGACACACATACGTTTAACCCTTGACCTCTCCAGCTGCGTTCCGGTCTGTGTGTGTGTGTACGCACACTTGTCACTGTCAGTGTTGTGTATGTTGTTTCCACTGGGCCACTGGAGTTGGCTGCCCGAGGGGGACATTCTCTTAGCGAACCACACTCAATGATCGAATTCCAGAGATTAAGACTAATACATTATTACCGTCCAGCCGTTTCCAGATCTTCGCAGCTATCTGAAGAATGTTTCTGGTAGCCAGTTTTTCCCCAGCCCACGCTGCTTTTAGTTCTCATGTGCTGCCCCTAAGATGTCTTTTGATCCCTGCTTTTGCTCTGTTTTCTACCCAATCAACCTGTTTCCAGAACTAGAAGGCCGCCTCTCTCAGGAGAGCTGCTGGAGGCCACTCGGGCCCACAAGCTGCTGCATCAGGGTGTCTGGGCACTGGAGGGCACACATGTACACGCACATGTACACAAACACACACACACACACACGCCGCCCACCCCCACGATACTCAGCCGGGTGGGAAGGGCAGTACTGGTAATGAATTTGCCTTCAACCAATGGTGAAGTCCATTGCCAACATCAGGAGGCAACCAAGGTTGACCTTCAACTTTAAAGCTAACCAGCCAACCCGTGTCCCCAGGGAGAGGTGGCCTGTCTTCTCTGCGCTCACCAGCAAAGGGACGGTGTCTGTACAGAGCAGTGTTCCTTTCCCTGCTGGAAGGAGGGGAGGAAGGGAGGAAGGGGAAAGAAAGAAAGAAAAGGAAGGAAGAGGAAAGAAAACCACAAATTTCAAGGCTGAGGAATATCACAAATTTAATTTAATCTAAAGCTTCTAGCCTTCCATCTCTCTATAAAATGCTGATGCCCCTGCCTCCCTCTTGAAAGGACCCTGTGATGACCCGGGGCACACCCAGATAATCCAGGATCATCCCCATCTCCAGAGCCTTAGCTTAACCACATCTGGAAAGTTCCACGTTCCATATAAGGAAACCGATGCGCAGTTTCTGGGGACTTAGACGCGGACATGTGGGGAGGTGGGGGTGTCACCCCCCCACCTCCGCGGACGGGGGCCTCTAGGGTAGACTGAGCAGGTGGGGCCCCCCGTGGGGTGTCAAGACCCGTGACACGGAGCAGACCCCACAGTCTGAGCTTTTCTATTGAAGAGGAAAGAACTGCACTTCTGCGCAGGCCAGACCCCACTTAGAAATCAGAATATGCTTTCTTTCCAGAAGTGACCCCAAGCGCGAGGAAGGGGCACGTCCCACCCTCCATGACCCCTTTTGGAGCAGAGAAGTGTTCCTTCAGACTGAACCCACTGGCCTTCCGATCCCAGGCTGGCTTTCTGCTCAGCTCACTGAGAACAGTACCGAGGGTTGAATAGTGTCCCCCCAAACTCATGTCCACCTAGACCCTTGGAATGGGAGCTTCTTTAGAAATGGGGTCTTTGCAGGCATCATTAGTGAGATGAGGTCATCCTAGATTGGCATGGGCTCTGACTCCAGTGACTGGTGTCCTTATCAGAAGGCACAGGCAAACACAGACACGCCAGTGGCCGGAGTGGTGTGTCTACAAGCCAGGGAAGGTGAGTTGTTGCTGGAGCCTCCGGAGGGGCAGGGAAGGGGCAAGGAAGGCTCCTTCCCTACAGCCTTCAGAGGCCGCCTGGCTCCGCTGACACTCTGAGCGCAGACTTTAGTCTCTGGAACACGAGAGAACATACATTTCTGTCGTCGGAAGCTCCCCGGGGGTACGTTGCTAGGGCAATCCCCAAGGGCACATGTGTGCAGCAGAAGCCAATGAGGTCTGAGAAGGCTCGTGTGTGAGCGTTTCTCCAGAAATCTGCAGTCTCTGCAGTCAGCGGAAGAGAAGGGGGCACAAAGGTTAAGGGGGGTCCAGCCACAGAAGGCATTGCCACACCCAGAATAGCTTCGAGTCCCGGGAAGGGTCAAATCTTTCTTGGGGGTAAGAAGGAACAACTCACAGTTTTTGTTTTGGGCTGGGGGGTGGTGGGGAGGGCCTTGGGCACTGCCCTGAACTCTCTAGAATGTTCTCGTGGTGTGTCGATGAAAGCACTGAGCCTCGGTCCACCTTCCCAGCCGGTGCCGCTGTTTGCCACCCCGGGCCATCGTCTAGACAAGTTTATCAAGGACTTTCTCCAGCCGGACAAACAGTTCCTAGACCAGATCACCGTAGCTGTTAAATTCATCCGTGGATTCCTTCAAAAAAATTGCTTTAGGCATTCAAGGACGAAGGTTCAGAAGACTGTGGAGGTGAGCATTGGCCTTTCTCCCACGTGGTTCCTGGAGCTCTGCAGAGCCCGCCCATGGACGGAGGGCAAGGGAGGAGGGGGGAAGCGGGGGAGATGGGCACCCAGGACTGCGGCTCTCAGTGGGGTTGCCCACGCCCTGCTTCCATCACTAACGATATACTTTTGGCTCTGTATGAGCTTCTGGGGGGCTGCCGCGACCCTTCATGGCCTTGGCCTGGGACCTGCACCTCCCCCAACTCTGCCTCTGTCTCCCCATCACCTCTCCTCTGAGGGTCTCCTCTTCTTCCTCTTGTCTCCTAAGGACACCTGCCATTGGATTTAGGGTCCGCAGACCCCTCACTCAATGACATCGACAAAGACCCTTTTTCCAAGTCAGGTCATGTTCTCACATTCCCATTGGGGCTACCATTCAAACCACAGCATCTTCTAAGCTCGGTGTGTACTGAACCAGAACGTGACCTCTTTCTTGCTTTAATGACCACAGCCCACTAAGCCCCATCAATTGAGCTAAAGGTTCATTCTTGTCCAAGACTCAAGGCCACGGGCTAACCCGCTTCCCTCCATCTGTTGGTCAGTGACCAGATCACCAGGTGCCAGTCCCAAGGAGGGAGCAGGGAGGTGCCCATATGGTGCCAAACAGACCTGGGAGCCTGCTGTCCTGAGACAGACCTGGGGACCGGTACCAATATCCCATGAGTGTTGAGTAAAATGTGTCACTGAGGTTCTTTGGACTGAGTTCATGGTCACAGGCTGAGTTCACGGTCAGTGCTAGAATTGTCAAAGCTTGTTTTCTCCCCTCCCGAGATTCCCATTAACCCGATAGCAAAAAATAAGAAAATGTATAGCGGCATATCACAGAAGAAAATAGGAAGAGAACCACCAGTGCACAGGATGTTGCTTTCTGTCTTCCTGAAGTTGGAAAGGGTTGTCTGCTAGGTGACATGGGATGCGTGCCCTGAATATGAGGAGGGGGCACAGAGTGGGCTGCTAAGGCCAACACTCACAGACCAGCTGCATGAATGAAGCAGGTTTGCGCACCTGTTTATACCCTCCCCTCGCCCCTAACCCACTGCCAGGCATTTACCACTCATGGGTAAAACAAAGGTGTCCTCTGTAAAAATTGAGTGAGCTTTTTGGGGGCAACCAGGGCAGCAGGTGTGAAGGTCGGTGCCCAGAGCAAAACCCCCAGCATCATGCGCGGAACGATTCTCTGTGGGGAAGCTGGCTTCTCCCCCCGGCTTGCCTGCGAAGCAGCCTGTCAGCTAAGCTCTGCCTAACAGACTCTTTAGAGCAGAAAGGGAAGGAGGAAGAGGAGGAGGAAGGGAGGAGGAAGTAGAGAACCCTGTGAGGCAGGGACATACATAGCCCCCATTTAGTACCCGACCCCTTACGGAAAGTTTGCCGAACGCTGTACCTGAATCATCAGCATTCACCCCATGATCCGCAGCTTGCAAGAGGAAATAGATGAATCAGGGAACTTTCAACGCAATGATTGCATCCAGCTTGATTTCTCTCAGGTCACAGGAATTCCCATAAAGCTAAATGCTCTTTGGGAGAACTCTTGAGGAAGTTGACACGAGAAGTGGGTGATGGATAAAAGCACCTCCGTTGTTCATGGGTTAATAAGCACATCAAAGGGCATGAGAAAACCTTTGGAACCAAACTATTCGTTTGAAAAATTGAATGCTCTGCTTTGGACTCAGCCCTAAATGGACCCTAACCTTGGCAACCTTATTAATGAGCCCACTTGCTGCCAGCTTGTGGGGGGGGGTGAGGGGCTCGGGATCTAGAAAATGCTGGATCTCAGCTTGTCTTTCTTCACTAGGGAGGGTCGACAGGCAAAGGCACAGCTCTGAAGACTGGCTCCGATGCCGACCTCGTTGTGTTCACAGACTCGCTTAAAAGCTACACCTCCCAAAAAAACGAGAGATGCTGTATCATCAAGGAAATCCATACACAGCTAGTAGCCTGTCAGCGGGAGAAAGAGTTCGAAGTAAAGTTTGAGATTTCAAAATGGAAGTCTCCCAGGGTGCTGAGTTTCTCTCTGAAATCCAAAGTGCTCAACGAAAGTGTGAACTTTGATGTCCTGCCTGCATTTAATGCCCTAGGTGAGGCCCCCTCCCCCAGACCTTTGCTGCTGGAGGAGGAAGCGGGGTTCTGGGGTGATGGGGCAAGGAGGGTGGAGAGAAAGCCATGTGACCTAGTATTGGCTCGCAGGTCTAGTGCCCCCAACAGGCGGCACGAGGAATGGCAGCAGCCCCTTACACCTAAGGACCTGTTCATTCTCCTTTCTCACTCATCCCAAGCATGGCCAGGACCATGTTCCTTATATTCTTCTATTCCTGTAGTATCCCTCATAATATCTATCAAAGAATGGGGCCACAGGCGTTCTGTACACATATACAGATAAAATGCCACAAGTATTAGTGAAAGAAATGAAGGAACAGACTGGGAAGAATGTGAGGCAAAGACAGGAAATCTGGGTGCCTTCAGTCTGCTTTGGAAATTCGGTTCATGAACAACAGATATGTAATGTATTAAAATAAACCAAGACCATTTCAGCAATTTTTCAAATCAGAATCAAAAAGACTCTGATACCTTCCCTCTGAATAGTTCTTAGTGTCTCTAGAGAGGAAATAATAGTATAAATTGGGGGTCAGCTATTTTTTTTTAAAGGCAAGGTAGCAAGTATTTTCAGCTTTGACGACCACACAGTTTCCGTCACAACTACTCAATTCTGCCACTGTACCCTGAAAGCAGCCATAGACAATACATTAACAAAGAAGCTTAGCAGTGTTCCAATAAAACTTTATTTACAAAAACAGGAAGTGGGCCAGATTTTGCCTACCATGCATAGTTAGCAAACTCCCAATCAGTGCTGTTTAAAATGTCTTTCTGTGATAATAACCATGTTCTACATCTACTGACAGCTTGAAATGTGGTTAATGGGACTGAGGAGCCAAATTTTTAATTTTATTTCCCTCTAGTTAGTTTGAAACCAAATAGCCACATTGTTTGGTGGCTACTGTATCAGACAGTATACATCTAGATAATACTTTGATAATAGCACCTGTCCCCCTACAGACCATATAATTTTTTCAACTATCCCATTATTCCCAGTATCTTAGACATTAATCGTTCAAATATATGAACAGAATTCAGTCATCGAATTAAATCACATTGGTCAAAAATTTGGGTAATGGTTACTTTTATGCACAGCAAAGCATAAACGAAACATCTCCCCCTTGCTAGGTCAACTGAATTCTGGCTCCCCACCCAGCCCCAAGGTCTACGCTGATCTCATCGATCTGTATAAATCGTCAGACGCCGTGGGCGGAGAATTTTCCACCTGTTTCACGGAGCTGCAGCGCAAATTTGTTGTCTCTCGGCCCACTAAACTGAAGGATCTAATTCGTCTGGTGAAACACTGGTACAGACAGGTATGGCCGCTCTCACTGCAGCTGTCTGGAAGCGCCCATGCGACTGGTTCCCATCAAGTGTTCCATGGGCCCACGCTCTCCCATGCTGGGGGATGAGCCACTCTGGGGACCCTGTCCACTAATCCTGCTTGTCTCTGTGGCGTCCCCATCACCAAACCCATGAAGCTGGGTGAGCTGTAGAGCACCCTCTCCCATCAAAGCGGCCGCTTCTGTCTTATTTTGCCTCTGCTCTGACCCCCAGAGAATTGGGCAGGAATCCAAGTTATTCTGCTCCCCAGGGCAGGTGAAACCGGGACTTTCCATGCCCACAGGTCACCAGCACGGCTTAGCCCCCGCTCAGCGCCCAGCGGAGCACACACAGATGCTAGTCTTGGAAGACAGGTTGCAAACCACAGGCGGGACGAGGGGCTGCCTTTTCTGTAACGGTTAGCCTCCCTCCATTTCTGTCACTGTCTCGCACACAGGGGAGCCTCTGAGTATCTCCGTGGCAGCAGACACCCAGCCCAGCAGCAGCTGCTTCCTGCATACAGGAACCTGAGCTCTGTGGTTTCCAACCCAGAAACTCAGAGAAGCGGCTATATCCCCAGCCCCAGGGTGCTCAGAGGGCTCGGGGCTACTGTGTGACCTTGAGCGAGTCACTTCCCCTCCCCGCGCCTCACGTCTTCATCAGAAACGTTGACCTATGCCTGCTTGGTGGGGGTGTGGGAGGATTAGGAATGACATGTAAAATGTCTGGCCCCTCTGTCAGCCCGCCGTGTGTGTTCTGAAAGTGGTCGCTGTTGTAGAACTCTAGGGAGTCCTATATGGCCGAAGCTCAAACCAGGAATCTACAAGCTGCTAAGGGAGGCCCCACTCAGATCTCCAGCAGCCCCGTCCCATCAGCCCTGCATCTCGTGCCTCGGTTGCCCTGCTGTGGCCCCGGGGACCATTAATGGGAGGTGTCTTCCGCGCTCTGAGCTCACTGCTCCTCCCCGCTTCACCAGTACTGCCTGACCTTCCCCTCTTCCCTCAGTGTGAAAGGAAACTGAAGCGTAAAGGGTCTCTGCCTCCAAAGTATGCCTTGGAGCTGCTCACCATCTACTCCTGGGAGCAGGGGAGTGGGGCAGAGAATTTCAACACCGCAGAAGGTTTCCGGACGGTCCTGGAGTTGATCACAAAATATCGGCAGCTCTGTGTCTTCTGGACAGTCAATTACAACTTTGAGGATGAGACTGTGAGGAACTTCCTACTGTCCCAGATCCAGAGGACCAGGTGCTCCAAACCCTGCCACCCCCTTTCCTTAGCCGGATTCCCTCCAACGCCATGACAGCCACCTGGATTCTCCTCCCTGGGCTCGGGATTCGGTGCTCCCCCCAAGAAACAGGACGTCGGCGGGTGGGGAGTGGAAAGGTGCCAACCAACAGAAGTTCCCATAGTCTCTGGGGAGAAAGTCCTGGTGGGGGAGGGCAGGAGAGAACGTTAGCCAGGAGGATTAGAGAAGGAAGGACCAAGATACGGGTCTCTGGGCTGCTTCCGTCTTCCTAGGTTGGAAGGAAAAGTGTGAATTCCTTAACAGGTCTTAGAGCTGTGGAAGTGGGAAGTGTGTCCCTGAGAAATAACGCTATCCTTCCCTCATGGCTGATTCATCCTAGAAGAGAATTAGATTTTATTCGATTTATTGGATCAGCTTTCATCTCCCCTTTCAGACCTGCATCCCGCAAAACCACTGTCCTTCCAGAATAGCAGGGAACCTTAGCATGTCTATTCAGTGCTGACGGCAGAGCCCAAAAACAAGGGAGGCAAAAGAAAAGGAACAGGAGGAAAGGAAAAAAGCTCTGAGAAAGAATAGAGGAGAAGAAAGAGAGAACAAGATACCATGGGCTGCCTAGCACGGGCATGGCCGACATGACATTACGGTTGATCAAATTACCCAACATATTTCAGTCGATCTAACAGGAGGGAGATGTTTCTATTATGCTGTCCCGTGTACAGTAAGGAACAGCTTTCAAAATACTATTGGCGAATGTCACGGGATTCTCGAAAATCACTTTGTGCTGTATCAGTACGTTTGAATTACCAGCACCTAAAACGTAGGACACATCGTTTTGGTGCCAGAGGTGGAATGGGCCCCCGATTCTGAGGTCGCTGGTTTTAAAAAGCATGTGGTGTGTTTCGGACTCTCCTTTAGGCCCGTGATCTTGGACCCAGCGGACCCCACCGGCGACGTGGGTGGAGGCGACCGATGGTGCTGGCATCTCCTAGCAAAAGAAGCTACTGAGTGGTTGTCCTCTTTCTGCTTCACAGATGGGACTAGATATCCTGTGCAATCGTGGAAAGTGCCAGTAAGGATAATCTAAAGGAAGTGCTGTCTGGAGATGCCCCCGGGACGCGCTTACCTCCAAGAGCTTTCTCCCTCTGTAGCAAGGTGGAATTTGTTCCACGCCAAATAACAGATAGCCCAACTCAGGAGCTGAGAACAAAACAAAATGGGCATTTTTGGTGGTGTTTTTTTTTTTTTCTTCTTGTTCAAGCAGTCCTAAGGCAGGTGACTCAGGACTCGCGCAACAGCTCTCTAAGCGGGTTTTCTCCACCGGTTGGTGTGTGGGGGTCGGCTAGTTCTTTGTGCAGGGGGTTGTCGGATGCTAAGGGCATCCCTGTTCTCTATCCCCTGGAGGCCGGGAGCAGCACCCGCCATCGTGGCCACCAGAAATAGCGGCGAACACCGCCAAATGTCCCCGGGGTCATCACCAGCTTTTTCTGGCCACACCTTCCTTAGCCGCTGATTTTCGTCCCGATCTCACTGCATTGCCAGGCAGCAGGTCGGGTCCCGGCAGGAAGAACAGCGAGGGGGTGTCTTCCTAGAAGCCTCATCCAGCAAATTCTCTTAGGTTTCATTACCTGGGATGGTCATGAGTTTCCCCGTAACTTCAAAGTGACTCCAAAAGGACGTGGTATGTGGTGCGGAGGTCTTCACTGTGGTTGGAGGTTGGCTCCTTTTCCTAAGAGTGTCGGTCACACCCGTTCAAAGCTCCGCCTCCTACCGGGACACCTGCCACCGGGTACAGTGGTTGTCCCACCAGGTTCTTTCTCGATGTTTTTCCAAGCAGGTTTTCTCAGCCTCAGCAGCTGCTGACATTTGGGCTGGATAATTCTTTGTTTTCTGGGGGTGGGGGGCCCTCCCGTACATGGTAGGGTGTTGAGCAGCCGCCCAAATCTCTACCCTCTAGATGCTACCTGGTCGTGACTATTAAAAATGTCTCGAGACATGGTCTTTTGTCCTGTAGGGAGCAAAACGGCCCCTAGCTTGAGAAGACCCGCACGACCCTAGGGTCCGCTTTGGTTATCCAGATCTGCACTAGAACCCGTCCCGAAAAGTTGTTCCCGGTCCTACTAACCCTCTCGGATACGCTCCCTGCTTCTTTCCCTCTGACTCTTTGAACCAGTGGTGTTAAGTGCGTGGGATCCGTCTTCTTCCAGCCCATACATTTCTTTCTCTCTAGATAGTGCAGACACCAGGCAGCTGTGGTATGGGGATTCAGCCTCTGGTCAATGAGATGTTCGCAATCAGAAGTCCTAGAACCCTGGAATGGTCATGCTAGAAGAGACGTCTGGGGGTCGTCCAGCAGCTGCTTCTTAAAGAATCTGCTCGCTGTCACCGCCAGATCCACTCTCCTCCATTCCTCCTCTCACTTCTTTGACTCCTCTCGAAACCAAGACCACCAAGTCCTTCCCAGCATCACCCCGCTGGACTCTCGCTCTGCACATGACCCGCCTTCCCAGATACACCCGTGCTCACCCAGCTTCACGGGCTCCATCGTTTTGTCAACCATGGCGTGTTTACCACTTAACTCCTTGCTTTTCCTTCAAGCCTTAGCAGCACGATCTCTCTGTAGTCCCAGAAGGAAGCCCTTTACCTGCCCCTGGGATCCCATAATTCCATGATCTTGCTCTCACCCTCCTCCGTCATTGCCCACCTCCTGCCTATTTCCCTCCGCACACCGATTCCTGTCTACACCTGCTGAGCCGAAGGTCTCCCCGGCAAGTAGCGAGCCGATGTCTTCTTAGGCCTTAAAACTTTCCAGAAGCTTGGATTATAACTGTTGCCTCACATGCATAATAGCCTATTGTCTTTTCCTCCTGAGCCTACCTCCCCCCCGCCCACCACGATGAGTGCCTTCTGGCCAGATCTCAAGGCTTTATGCTCTGGCTTTAGCTTCAGAGATACCTGGATGTCTACGTGTTTTAACCTCAAATATCCACTTCAAGCTTTACTACCCCCCCCCATTATGCCACTACACTAACCGTCACAGAATGAAGAGGATGTCCAGTCTTTGTCCCCAGCTCCCAGCCCAGAGCCTCAGAACCCAGGGAATTTCCCGATAGGAGAGTCTTTTCCACCCCCAGGAAACTCATCCAGCCATCCCTGAGCTTATGCAATGGGGTTTAGGGCCTTTGGTGAGAGTTTCCAAGGAGGAACTGGCCGCGCCAGCAATGCCAGGCATGTGATGAGAGGGTAGAAACTTTCAGCCCCATCCCCCAACCTCCCAAGAGCAGACTGAATTCAAGCACCTGGCTAATGGTTTAATTAATCATGCTTTTGTAATGAAACTCCAATAAAGACTCTGGACAGCAAGGCTTGGAACGCTTCTTGGTTGGTGAACAGAACTGTGTGTTGTGGAGACGATGAATCCTAACTCCAGGGCGACGGGCCTCCGGTGCTCCGGACCTTTCCAGCCCTCCCGTCCTGTGTATCTTTTCATTTTCCTGTTCATTTACATCCTGTACAACAAAATAGTGGTGGTAAGTACGGCATTTTTCTGAGTGCTGTGAGTCATTCCAGCAGGTTATTGAACTGAAAGGGAGGCCACGGAAACCCCTGAATTTGTGGAAACCCCTGAATTTGTAGCCAAGTCGGGGGGTGCAGGGGGTCCAAGTAGTCTGAGCCCCCCACTCGAAGCTGGCATCTGAGGAGGACCTCGCCCTTTCACTGTGAGCCCTGCACGGCCTCCAGGTAATGTCAGGGTTGGAGTGACCTGTAGGACCCCCAGCTGGGGTCGTGCCAATGGGCTGGGGTTGGAACGCATCACTGCTCTTGTCCAGAACAAGGGCAAAGGTTAGAGCCCTTGAAGAAAGAACGACCGCTCTGCCTTCATGTCATCTCAGCCCACAACAAGATGCCAGACCCTTCCAGGTGCCCCAACTCACACTAGAGACATAGAAGGAGACCGTAAGGCCATAAGACACTGCCCCAGCCTCATAGGGCTTATGACGTACCTAGACGTGCATCACCTGCACCCCTTCACTAAAAATGAGCAACTGTTACAGCCACGTGATCAGTGGGACGGGTGTAGTGGGCTAAGACTTGGAACAAGAGAGAAAGTAAGCAACTCAGAACTTACGTCCCAAAGGAAGGAAGGAAACATCCTGGGCCTTTCCTGCCACTGTCTTCTCAGCATTTGCCAGACGTTTAAGCTCATTCAGAGCAAAGATAAGAGTGCGTCCTCCGTGATTAAGATGCCACGGCTGTCATTGGAAGGTATGAGAACACCAACCCTTTTCGAGCACCAACGAGAAGTTCGGCAAGTCCCGGCAATGAATAGGGTATAACTAAGCCCATCCTTTCCTGTACAAACTGTATTTCAGGATAAACAGACAGCTATAACTAATAAGGAAAAACATCTTTTTTAGAAAAGGATTCGACTCGATATTTGTTGAAAGGGTGAAAATGAGAAACAACGCCGTTCGACAACCTTCGCTGAAATGAACCATGAGGCAGAGACTACGGAAGGATGGGACCAAGGAGGAGACACCGGCAGGGGGCGCTCTGTAACGGAAGTGGGCAGACCGCCACTCCACAAGCCCTCCGTGGGATCAGGGCATCAGGAGGAGAGAGACATGGCTGTGCCTGCGGGTGGGAGGCAGTGTCGAGCACACAGCACCATCCATTAAATGTTTTGCCAGGTTTAAAAAAAAAAATGACCATAAGAACAAAAGGAATTGAGTTAGCAAATCCCAGAATAAATGTGGAGGCCAGACACACTTCATAGGGGAGAACGTCAGAGTAAAAGGCCAGGAGAGGAACTGTGTGTGAAAGGGACAGGAGCCAAGACCATACAAGAGTCCAGTTAGGCAGAGCTAAAGGTCAAGGTCTCAGGCCCATTGGCCACTCTCAGTTACCCTGGCAACAAGGCCGCCACTTACCCCAAAGGAAGTAAGCAGTGATTAGAAGCAGGGCTACACGTGGCAAGTGGCCAGCAGCCCGGAGGAATTTGGGAAGTGTTTGAGGAGGAGACCTTAAATGAGGTCATCAATGGGGAGAATTTGCTGATCAAAGGATCTTCTGGAGCCTGTCTGCTGGAGGGGCTCCGCTGCTCCCAACTGAGGCTTCTCTAGCCAAGTTTGGTCAAGTCGGAGCAGGTGAAAAATGGAACCGCGCTGCTTCTGTTTCTTGACATCAGCGCCCGGGATGGATCTCACACAAGGAAAAGATGCAGAAAATCTACACTCTCTTTTTCCTGGGGCTGCCCGGAGTGGGGCGTAAACCTGGAGGGGAGCACAGGGAACAGAATGTGAGGACTCAGTAACCCAGCGCAGCTGAGAGATAGAACGAGTCAGTTCCATCTGGGCACACACGTGCCGGGCATGCGCACATCTGATGGCATTCCTCATATATGCGCCGACCCCGAGGCTTTTCTCTTGCCTTTCCCTTCGTTGGGGTACCAGGCTGGGAATTGCAAGGGAGAAGCTCTCGTGTTCTAAGGGACAAGGCTCCAGTTGATGGAGCAGGAAGTCATCACCAGAGGAAGGGGAAAGGCTCAGTTGCTGTTAAGTGTGTATATAGGGTAAGGGTTATGGGGGCAGGAAAAGGGATCCTTCCCCAAGGCTTGGCCACGGTGAAGAATGTGCGACTGTGAGCTCCAACAGCGGGAGAGGAAATGCCACTAAACCCACAGGAGGCCTGGGGAAGCCAGGAGTGTGGCAGACAGAATAATGGCCCCCCCAAGGATGTCCATGCCCTGGTCCCTGGAGCCTGTGGATATGTTACCAGGGACTCCGCAGGTGGGAATAAGTAAATGGTCTTGAGAGCGGGATAGGAATCTGGGTATTCACGTGGGCCCAGTCGAATCCCATGAACCCTTAAAAGCCCAGAGCCTTTCCCACCCAAAGGCGAGAGATTCCGCTGTTGAAGATGCAGGAGGACGTGAGTGGCTGTGGCTGGCTTGGAGATGCAGAGGGTCCCGAGTCCGGGAACGCAGGCCGCCTCTAGATGCTGCGAGTCACGCAGGAGTTTTCCTCCTTTGCCCTCAATGCCAGGGAGGGGACAGAGAGGGAGGAGGAGGGAGAGCACCTTGCTATCCCTAATTTCTCCTCGCTCCCACCATTCTCGCTGTAAGAGGAAAACACCGGTTTTCTAAAAATTGTCCGCGTGATCTCACGCAAGTGAGCGTGTCAGCCCACTTACACTGGGCAGTTTCACACTCCCGGTCCGTATCGCAGGCTTGCCAGGGGTGCGACTCCGGGGGTGCCATCCGCACCGAGCTGTGTCTGTCGGGCTCACACTCTCACCCCCGTTCCTCCCTCCTTCCCCTCCTGTCTCCTGCGATCTTCCACTCCAGCAGCCTTTGCTCTTTGCTGCCATCTTGTGGTCATCGAGAGAATTACAAGCCCTAAAAGGCAATGATGTATGCTTAAAGCCCCTGGAAAATGTTAGGGGAAGAGGGAGGTTCCCTCTTCATTGGAACCATGATCAAGACAATAAGACATATTTAAGCAATCTGTTATTTCCGCATACTCACTAGGAGCAGAGAAGGGAAAGGCAACCAACAGCCCTTAAAAAAGCGTAGGGACACTGGGCAGATGATTACTGAATTAACCCTCTGAGGAATTTCCGAAATCATTCTATGGTGTATATTAGAGAGATAAATGGGTCTTGCAGGGCGCCTGGGTGGCTCAGTCAGTTGAGTGTCCAACTCTTGATTTTGACTCAGGTCATGACCTCAGGGTCATGGGATCCCCACATTGGGCTTAGCACTTGACTTTGAGTCTGCTTGAGGTTCTCTCTCTCTCCCTTTCCTTCTGCCTCTCCCCAACCCACACTGTGAAAATAAGTAAGTAAATAAATAAATAAAATCTTGAAAGAAAGAAAGAAAGAGAGGGGTCTTTCCCCTTGACCTTGAATGTGACCAAGAGGAAAAGAGGGATTCAAGTCTTCGAGTTTGGCTACCTTTCCCACTTTTAAGAATTCCCTATTAAAAGGTTAATGCAGGAGATCCTAAAATATTGATGGAATTGTGTTCATGGGTTAGGAGGCTTAATATAGTTCAGCTGACAATACTACCCAAGGCCAAATGCAGATTTAAAGCCATCTCTATCAAAATCCTAATGGTATTTTTAATTTTTATTTTTTAAAATATTTTATGTATTTATTTGACAGAAATAGAGAGCGAGAGAGCACAAGCAGTGGGAATAGCAGAGGGAGAGGGAGAATCAGGCTCCCTGCCGAAGGCAGACGCTTAACTGACTGAGCCACCCAGACGCCCCCGCTCATGGTATTTTTTTAAAGGGAAATGGGAAAAACTCATCCTAAACTTCGTGGGGAATTTCAAGGGACCCAGAATAGCCAGAACAATCTTGAAAAATAAGAACAAAGTTGGAGGACTCACATTTTCTGATTTCAAAACGTGACACGAAGTTACAGTAATTGGAACAGTTTATCATCTGCGTAGGAATAGACAGACAGACCAACAGGAGAGAATTGAGATCCCAGAAATGACCCCTTACGTTGATGGCCCACTGGTTTCAACAAGGGCGCCAATTCTACAGAGGAGAAATTGGTCTCTCTGACACATGGTGTTGAGAAAAGAGGTTGCACACGTGCCAAGAATGAACCTGGGCCCTTACTATACACCGTATACAAAAATTAACTCAGAATTGATCCAAGACCCAAGTTCTAGGAGCTAAAACTATAAAGCCATCAGAAGAAAACAGGCACGTCTTGCACTTAGCCATGGTTTCTTAAACTGTGACACCCAAGCATAGTCAACCAAGATAAAAATAAATAAATTGGATTTTGTCAAGATTAAAAACAGTGCATCAAAGGACACAACCTGGGAGTGAAAAGGCCACCCGCCGAATAGGAGAAAACTTTCGCAAACCCTATCCGATAAGGGTTTCATACCCAGAATATATAAAGGACAACAACTCCACAACAGAAAGACAAGATTGCCGATTTTAAAATGGGCAAAGGAGTTGAAGATAAACAAACGGCTGGAAAATACATGGAAAGATATTCCTCATCATCAGGGAAATGCAAATCACTATCCTAATGGGCCGCACTTGGCCCCCAGGAGGCTGCCTATCATTGAAAAGCCAGAGAAGACCAAGCAATGGGACGGGCATGGGGAAGCCGGGACCCTCACACGCTGCCCATGGGATTGTAACACCATATGGCTGCTGGGGAAACCATCTGGCAATTCTCCAAAAAGTTACATGCAGAAGCGCTGTCTGACCCAGCAATTCCACCCCGAGGGATACACCCAAGAGAACGGACCACAGGCAGCATGATTCTCAGCAGCCAAAAGGCAGAAACAGCCCATATGTGCAGCCACAGACCTATGCAAGAGAAAA